AAAACAAAGGAATCTTTTTCTGGTACTACTTCAATATCTACTTCATCTTTATCCTCATCTTCATCCTCTCTAGAAGAACCAACCATCCAAGCAACCACCAAGCCACCAAAACCCACCCAACTCATCCCAAGCACAACAATCATCAGCGTGACCACACCAGATGCAAATAATGGAGCCGTAACCGCGTTAACTATTATTCCTGTAACCATCAGTTCCACTTCCAGTTCCAGTACTAGTTCCAATTCCGGAAGCAACTCCAATTCTGGCACCGAAAACGAAAACAGAAGTGGTAAAAACAGCGCAACAACTACCGAAATATCCATCTCGAGCGCCGTTGTTACGACTGCTGGAAATGGTTTGGCGCAGATGACTCCTATTTCTACTCCTATTTCTACTTCTATTCCTATCGCTACTCCTAGCCTTATAGCTAGCCCAAGTCCTAGCCCCACCTCGATCATTGTACTGAGCACTAGTACTTCCGCCGGAAATGAAATTGCAGGAAATGGAAATGGCCTAGAAACAACAATCCTCAATATCCCCGCGCCTAGAGAAACAAGTACATATACAACTAGTACTACCAGTAGCACAGAAGGAGCAGGACTAGCAAATATTTGTCTAGGTGTAGGGAGTAATGGGAAAATTAGTAGTATGAGTAGTTGTGTTGGGGGAGCGACTGAGACGGAGACGAAGACGGTTAGTGTTAGTGCTACTGCTACTGTTACTGTTACGGCGAGGGAGACGGTTACGGTTAAGGGGTAGGAGGTAGGGAGAGGGAGTAGGAAGTATTGAAGTATGGAATATGCAGTAGGGGAGAGAGGGAAGAAAGAAGAGTGAATTTGGGTGAAATGGAGTAATTAATAGGATAGCCTAAATAGATTGCAACTGAGTGCTGCACTTGCACTTGCACTTGAGGAGAATTAATATATGAGGGAGTTTAAAATTGGTATTGATAAAGTAGGAAATTTAGATGTTTGTAGGTTAGAATGCAGTGGAATAGAACATGGTAGAGTGGAAAAGATAAAATAGATTAATAAATGAATATCAAAAAGTTATATATACTTTCAATCTTACACACTAAAATAAAAAAGTATTTAATAATTAATAGAAATAATAAAATGAATAAAATGAATACATTTAAAATATTATAATATAATATAATAAAAGTATATATAAAATCAAAACCAAAACTAGATACTTATTTTTTATATTTCATTTATAATATATAACTAAATAAAAATAAATAAACAGATATTTAATAAAACTTTAAAACGATTTCCTTTTTTAAATATATATATAACGTGGTTTATCAGCAGTCCGCCCATATCACTAGTCCGCCCACTTTTTGGCCATTTCCAACTCTTCCACTTCAATACGCGTTTTATCAATAATTACTTATGGAAACTCATTCTAAAGAAGTACGAATTATCTTAGCTATTGAAGCTATTAAAATTAATCCACAATTCTCAATTCGGAAAGTGGCAAACCTTTATAATATACCTCGATCTACTTTGAGGGATAGAATTAAAGGTTGTACTAATATGGTTGATTATCGACCAAAAGGTCATAATTTGATCAAATTAGAAGAGGAAGTGCTTATCCAGTATATAATCGATATGGATGAGAGAGGGTTTGCATTTAAATTAAGTAGTGTAGAAGATATAGCGAATTATATCCTCGAATCGCAGGGTGCGAAGAAGGTTGGAAAGCTCTGGGCTCATCGCTTTGTTAAACGATGCCTAGAATTAAAGATGCATTTTAATCGCGTTTATGACTTTCAAAGAGCTCTTTGCGAAGATCCCAAGCTTATTGAAGAGTGGTTTGGATTGGTATCGAATATATGGGCGAAATATAGTATTGTCGATTCCGATTTCTATAACTTCAATGAAACTGGCTTTATGATGGGTGTAATATGCCCTGGAATGGTTGTAACTAGTATTGAACGATGTGGCAGAAGCAAGGCAATACAATTAGACAATCGAGAATGGGCTACAGCGATTATATGTGGTAATGGAGAGGGTTGGACTATACCTCCATTCTTGATGGTGCAAGGACAATATCACCTTTCTAATTGGTATACCGAAAGCGGTTTTCCTGCAGATTGGGCTTTTAAACCTACTTCCAATAGATGGACGAATAATGAGACAGGTCTAGAATGGTTAAAGCATTTTGACAAACATACTATTCGTCAAAGGAAGGGCAAATATCGAATGCTAGTATTGGATGGGCACGAAAGCCACGAATCAATATCTTTTCAATCATATTGCAAGTCAAATGATATTATATGCCTCAGATTACCATTAAATTCAAGTCATTTAACTTAACCACTTGATGTTGGGTGTTTTGGCATACTTAAACGTTCATATAATTGTCAAATTGAAGGATTTATCAAAGCTTATATCAATCATATCATCAAGATTGAATTCTTTATAGCCTTCAAAACTGCATATTTACAATCATTTACTATTCAGAATATGAAAGCTGGTTTTCGAGGAGCAGGTCTAATATTATTCGATCCTCAATCTATACTCTCAAAACTGGATATTAGGATTCGTACTTCTACCCCTCCATCTACCTTCTTGGAACTTATCAATTCCTGGATCTCTCAAACCCTTCACAATCCAACTGAGGCCCTCTTACAATCAACTCTAGTAAAAGCTCGAATGGCTCGTCATCAATCAAGCTCTCCTACACCTATATTTGAGACTGTACAAGCTTTAGCTAAAGGTACAAAGAGATTGGTATATGAAGTTATATTTTTGAATGTTGAAAATCGTATGCTTCAAAGAGTAAATGAGGTATTAAGTAAATATCGATGCACTAAAAAAATTCAACTACATAATAGAGGAGTACTTACTGGACAAGAAGCTGAAGATATATTATCACAACAAGAGGTTGATAATCAGATTCAACGCGACGAGCGTCAAAATGGGGGAAATTCTAATAGGGAATCATCTACTAGTCGATGCTGCAGTAAGTGCGGAAGGACTGGTCATAATTCAAGAACTTGTCAAAATGATATAATAGATCCTAGATTATTAGATTCTTAATAGTTTGAATCAATTGAATAAGTTATGATTGATTAATTAGAATTTGAAGTGGTTAAATGGTCAAAAAGTGGGCGGACTAGTGATATGGGCGGACTGCTGATAAACCACGTTATATGTATTAATTATATAATAATTTAAATTATTTCATTTTCAATTACTCAATTTAATAATCTTAGAAATTATATCAAAAGATAAATCTTTTATGTTACATTGGACAGTAACAAAGGTCACGTTCTTAATCACATGATCCAAGAAACCGACAAA